AAGATTTCTAAATACTAAGAAATTTAATACCAAAAGAGAAAAAGAGCTACAAGATCATGTGCGATGAAAAAAAAATGTTATGAGTATACTTATATATGCACAGACAGAGGCAAAACAAACATGTTGAATTTTTTTCTTCTCGTTTCTAGATTATGAAAAATGGAGATTTTAATTAAGATTTAATTGATTTAGTGATTATTCATTTCAATAATTAAAAAAAATTAAATTCAAATACCATAACATATAAAAGATTCTACATGAGAAAAGGAAATACTTACAAATAATGCACATCAATACATCAACGACTAACAAGTATAATAGTAATGTATTTTCAATAAAAATAAAAAAATCTCTAATTTTAATAATATGACATATAGAATAAGTGTAAGGTGTTTCATGCTTCCCATTGTAAAAATAAAATAATAATAATAATAATGGAAAGAAAGAAAGAAAGAAAGAAGAACAATGCCAATACCTTGTCCCACAACGAAAAGTGTTTGAATTGAAATCATCAACGTTGAGGTGACATGGCAGGTGGAGACTTTGAACTTGGAAGACTTCAGTTCTAAATATTCAAACGAGCAACGCGGTGCTGTCCTCATTAACGTCACTGAACCGAAAAGTTGATTACCAGAAACTTCCAATGAAAATCGTCAGGAAAAAAGACACCATCAATTGCAACCTCACATTTGGTTGTTAGCTCAGGTTGCTCTCTCACCTACGAAAGGAGTTGAGTAAATTTTATTTTATTTTTTGTGGTGGCTTTCTCGTTTACTTTCATCACTTAAGTTTGCATCCTTCATTTATTTTATTGAGATGTTTTCAGTAATAAAAAAAACCCAGAATTAAGCCACCATTGCCCCAAAATTTGGGTAAGCTTCCAATAATACAAGAATTGAGAGCTAACGCTTCTAGTTTCTTGTTGCATGGGATTTAGTAGTTCCTATTTGAGACAGCTGAAACAATCCAGAAGTCGAAAACAAAATACAACCCAGGAATGTCAAGATGAGCTTATAAATAAAAACTAGTCAATTATCCGATAAGGGGGTTGTTTGGTTTCATAGAATTGAAGAGAAAATAGTAAGGGGTTGGTGGAGTCTGGAGTAGGTTACCAGTAGCATTGCAATTACAGGACCCTGGCAATTCAAACAACATAGATAACAGGGCAGGGCCACCTACCAACTATAGCTAAGAATAAGCAAAAAAAAAAAAAAAAAGGGCGTTTGCATACCTATGACTACTCTGGGGAGGTTATGAACAGAGCTTCTAAAGTACCAAGGCCAAATTAACAAGCTCTGCAAAATCTATTAACACCTGACTTTATACATTGATCCTGGCATTTCAGTTTGAAGGGGATATTTCCTTCCCTTTGCCCTCCTGAATGTCACTGGGCGTAGAAGGACCAGATTCATCATCTTCAGCACTTGCATCCTTGGGTGCCGTTACAGTCTCTGGTGTAGTCTGCTTTAAGTTTGTAGGTTCAGTTTCAGTCTCCAACTTGCCATTAGACTTTTCACGATCCTCACCATCACTATCATCATCTCTCATGGATGCATCATCCACTGCTTCATCAACAATAGGCTTGTCAAATCTAGCATCCTCCGATGAATTACCAGCAGATCGTTTGGTCTTCAATGTGGAGGTGCTATGTTGGGCTCCACTCCTAAAAAACCAGGTTTAGACTCCTTAGTTGGGATCCAAAACATGTAATAAGATTACACAAAGACAGACATCAACCTTTTTGAGGTTTTACGACGCTTCCCTGATTTGGGTGAAAGTGAATCTGTTTTATCTTTCTGTTTGGACACTCTGGTCATAGAGAAAACAAATGAAATAACATTTAAAGATGTGACAAAATAAAACGCACAAGGAAAAATACCTAAAATCTGAATGTCAATCACAGCTAATAATATATGATGATTATTGAGGACAAAGACTAATGGTGAATCCTTATAACATTCACATAACTTCTTTTATTAGAATTAGTAATGGAAAAAGATGCCAACTAATAAATTGGTTTAAGAGCATGCACAATAAAACACCCTTCCAAAAGAAAAGGGAAGTTGGGGTAAAAGCATGACTTACTTATCAGGAGAAGCACCAGGTCTTGGAAGATTAGTTTCTTGCCCCTGTTAACATTATCATCACAGTTTCAAGTGTAAGACTTAATAATTTGAGATGCAAAATGAAATAGACAAGGGGGAAAACATTCACTGGGAAACACCCACTCCATGTGGTGAATTATGATCTTCAATGAACTCCCAGCGTTGCCTTCTGAGATTAAGTTTTTCCTCATCTCCATCGGCGTACAAGACCTGTATAAGTCGTCACCAGAACCTAGTAAAGAACTTTATTAACATGCAGAAAGAAGATGGTGGTTCACATAAGCACCATCATATGGCCAGAATAATGGTGCAGACTAGATGGTTTATGCACTTAGGTGATATGCAAAATAAATGCAATAAGATTAACTAGTAGCAAGTAGAATGAAAAGAAACCAAAAATGAGCAAACACAATTGGGTTTAATGAATTTTTCTCACTCTGTGCTTCTTCTTAACATTGTCATAAGAATCGACCACACCTTCATAAAACCTGCAAAATAAAAAATTCATATGAGAATGAATTGAAATGAAGTTTTTAAGTCAAAAGTTAATGTTTGGGATAGAGGCTTCTCTCATTGTCACTTCCTAACATATGGGGAACCATGCTTGCCCTTCAAGTTGCATATTAAATCCAATAAGAAGCCAGAAGAGATCTGTGTTTCAGCATTAGCCCCAATGCAGCAGTTTCACCATTTATGAGTAAAACTAACCCTCCATTGCCTACCTGTTCTCTTACATATTTCAGCAAAATCACAAATACATCTACCTGCAACCAGGAATTTTCAATTTTGTGCTCCCCATGTCAAAAATGCTTGCCTACATTAAAGCCAATTTGGTGGTCCCTATATGTTCTATGCCTTGATATACTAAGGCCCCAGCCAATGCTTTTGGTTTGAACATCTACATCTCTAGTCATTTCATATTGAAAAAAATTTGCTAGAAAGACTGAACAAAATTTGGAGGGGAGTGTGCCACCATTAGAGAAGAAGGCAACTTTGAATAACAGCTCTTTAACATGTCAATGGAAGGTAGAAGCTTTTGTTTAGTGCAACACCAGTGCAGTTAGCAAGCCATCTAGGTTGGAACTAGGGCATTCATGAGGAATTACCACTTGGCTGGTCAAAGGTAAGAGCATTTGAAGATCCCAGTTCAACCCTTCACCACAACTTAGGTCATGGAATGCAGAAGGGTATAACACCCTTAAAGTATCCAGATAATCTAATCTGATATATCATGAAAGGCTTTCAGGCTAAAACCAATTGGCGATGGAGACCTAACTTGAACAGAAAGCCAAAATAACCTCAAACTTGCTGATTTTGGATAATATCATCACCAGCACTTTGCTTCACATGTAGGTCTAATAAAATAATACAATTAAAACAAACATATAATATGTACTAACAAAATAGGATGATTAACAATATGGCAACATAACCTAGACTCCATTTCCATCTTAAAGCATCTAACATAAAAGCAACTGTCAATAAATTGATAGGCCTAACTTAGATATAAGGCCACATGAACCTCTAAACCATTGTGGATGACACCCCTGCTTGACGCAAGTAGGAGATTACCTCTCTATTCAATAGTGATCATACAAAAACTAATAAATATAACAAACTTGATGAGACAGGACCACAAAAGCAACACAAAATTTAACTGCTTTTAGAAAAAGACCAAAGGATTCAAACCAAATTCCTTGAGTACTCACTTCTTATCCAATGGCCACCAAACTTTAATTCTCTTGCCAATCAATTCTTCACCAAGATCAGGCAACCCAGACTCCTGAATCAGAAAATGATCCATATTAATAAGTTAAAAGTGCAAATGATGGAGATTGGAATAGGATGAGTAAAGCAGATAAAGCATTACTCTAGGCACAATTGACATTGAGTGAAGCAAATGATCCATACAGAATATAAGAGGGAAAAAGTCAGAAGTCGAAAGAAATCCAATGAAGGTAAATTATCACAAACATAGGAAATGGATGACACTAGAAGTTTAGGGCTTTTATCCAACTTGACCTCAGATTTCAAAGCCTTCCAATTAATTCATGAAGTTTATTATGTATATCAGTTAAATCCTTATATTAAACTCATGTTGAGAAAGCCAAACTGAAAATGCTACATAGGCTGCCACCTAAAATCCAAGGAGGCACTGGGGTGACATGGATAAACAATTCTTTCTTTGCTTTTCCTTCCTACCTCTCCCCTTTTCTTGCAGCTTCCATGCTTTCAGAAAGAACTTAAACCAAAGATAAAGAGAAGGCAAACCTCATTCTTTCCAGCAGTTCTTTTCCTCTTAATACTTGCTTTAGGGGAATCCTCCAAGGGACTTTCTGTACTAGCTGGTGTTACGAGCTCAGAAATCATCTTCTGTATGGTTGACAAGAGGTGAAAACATAATAGAAGCTTTTATGCATGTTTGGGAAGAATAGGAAAGCCTTAATTATTACATACCTTATTGTCAGGTGTTCCACTGACAATTTTATCTGGAGTGGTATCATCACCCAAAGAATTTTTCTTAATACTAGTTTGGCTTGATGACCTACCCTGCTTGAAATTTCTTCTGCGAACCTTCACAGCTGACTGTTGCAAAGGTTTTTCCTCCAGATCGCCAGTGTTCTGAAGCTCCTTTTCAGAGACAGATCCAGGAGTTAGCTCCTCTCTCTCCTTTTCAGCAAGTCTAATCTTTTTGGAGCGCTTCTTTTGTTTTATCTTAGATTCACTTCTGCCTTCAGATTGCGGAGCATTCTCCAGATTATGAGCATTCAAAGCCTCTTTCTTTGATTCAGACACAGAACCAGGATCAGCATCTTCATCTGTCATGCTATATTTTTTCTTAGGCCTGCCCCTTCTGCGTTGACCATCTCCAGGACTATCAGTCACTTCTTCATGTGTCAAAGACCCAGACAACTTCTTGGAATCTATGTCTGCAGATGATAAACAATCAACTCCCTTTTCAAGAGGCTTTTTATTAAGAGCAGTTTTTGGTGTTCGTCTACCCATGCGAACCCACGAATGGTCATAGCCTTCTTCTGGGTTCATCAAAGAATTAGGTCTCCGGCCCCTTTTCTTTGGAACAGTATCTTGCTCGGTTTCCAATTTGACTGCCTTAACAGAGACATTGTCATGTCCATCACTGCCACTAGCATCCGCACTTTTGGACTGCTCCTCATGAGAATAATGCTCTAAACTTTTTGAAGGATTATCATTTACAACAGTATCACCATTTCTAGTACCAGCATTTCCTTTACTTACCACTGGCTTGGAAATACCATCTGCAGCTTTAAAACCTTCTCCTGAACGTACAGAACTTTGCAAGACCTGATTAGAGAAAATTGCATTCATAATCAGTTGAAAATGTATTCTGAACTCAAGTAAAAGCATCAAATATTAGTGTTGCGACATATCTAAAATCATCACCTAACAAGAAGACATCAGTGTCAGTCCATCTATTAGCATTAATCTAACAATTCGTGAGCAGAAGGCCACTAGTTAATATTCCAGATACAGCTTTATATAATGCTTTTACCAATACTATGTCAGCCAAAACTTATTTAAATGTTTCTCTTTAAATCTTTTTCTTAGCCATTTCTTAAATAGTTTTTAGACCAATCCTATCCCAAAGAACAAGATGGAAGTGTTCAACAATTATATGATCTATTTAAGGCATGTAATATCATGTCTGAAGCAGGAGTTGTTTTTACTGAATTAATACATAAGGTAGAAAAAATAAAATACGTTATAGAATGTGCAGACAATAGTGAGTGACCAAGCCAACATGGAACTATCAACCAAAGAATTAAAAGGAATAGTGTCTCTGGCAATGACAGAGTGGCCATCTCATGTTGAAGAAAAAAAAGGACTTCTTCTGGCAAAGACTTGTCAAACCGTGTTGAAGGTATGAAAGTCAAGAGTCTCTGTTTACAGAACACTTGAAAAATAATTACATACTCACGCACTTCACGGAAATAAATGAATCAAAGAGATCTTAGAAAAAGATATTGAGATTATTTAAATTCACCGAAGGGACCTTGAAGTCATTTACGTCACTTCAGTTCTTACATGGACGTCCAATCCAATAGTTTGCAACCTTGAACCAACAAATTTAGCATACCACTTAGATTTTGTAGAGTTATACAGGAAGTAAAGAGAAACATACCAAATGGTCCCCAGGATTGACATGATGGTGATTACGGGTACTTGATTCACTTCTGCAGATAGAAGCAAGTACCGGAGAATATTGGTCCAAAGCAATGCCCATAGACTTTACTGCTTGTAGGAGATATGGTTTTATCTTCTGAGCACAGTTAGCTATAACAATTTCCCCCAGCTTCCAAGAAACTGGTGAAACTTTCTAGAACGATGAATGAACCAATATAACCAAGTCTCAGAAACCAACAGAAGAAAAAAGGGAAAAAAATATAGGCTTTATCAAAAGATAATTACCTGATTTTCCTTCCTCACACTATCCAAAAGAGGATTGAGAAGACCCAAGGAAATATCTTCACTTTCATCTAAGACCAGGATCATAATTGTTTCCATGGCCAAAAATACAGCATTTGGATGGTTGGACCTTAAGAGTTCAGAAGAAAATACCCATCAGTATAAACAAGTTGCTGGATCGGGGATCAAAATTTTTAAGATTTAAAACTTTTCTTCACTAAATTTGAGGGCACAATCACCATATGTAGGATTTCATCAGGCAAGCTTATGTACTACAAGCAGTGCTATAAACCCTTTTACCAAAACAAAACATCTTCTATATTCAATATGTTAGGCTCCATTGTTAGACATTTCCCAAATCCATGATTTTCCTTTTCTGTAAGAATGAACTGTAACATCTTCCATATTCAATTATACTTTAAGAAATGCTAAATGTAAGCAGGTAAACGCACAAAAGATACTCTAAAATAAATATAATCAAGAATTAAGTCATTTTATTAGACATTTATAATTAAATTCATTAAAGCAAAATTAAACAGTACCTTTATCAGAATATATTAGCCAATGAAGACACTAAATATAATTTTATCTCATAAAGTAACACTCCTTCAGAAATTAGTAAGATTTAAAAAAAAAAAAAAATTCACCTAATCGAGCTGAGACAGCAACAATACCTTTTTGTCATCTCATGCTCTCAAATATATTTTTGCCACACCACTTTGATGCTTTCAGGATAAAGCTTTAGACTTTATTTGACAAAATTTCATCATTCAAATGAGTTCATAGAATCAAAGGGACAACATCTTGTAGATATCAAGTCATAATAAAATTGAACTTTTTCCATTAATAATACTTGAGGCATTTTTGGCTGGTAAGAAAAATAAAATTTTGAACTTCAGTTAAGAAAACTTTGCTTGCACTGGATATGAATGCTCTCAATCAACACGACAACCAAAAGTAGTATTAACAGAAATAAGACCAACAGAAGTAATAATAACCATTCAAGACTCTCACCTGATTGTTTTCAGGAAATGTCGAAACATCTGAATAATCAACTCATCACACTCCAGGTCCAACATCACCAAGCATGATCTGACCCTTGCAACATTATCAAGAATAGAGACTGCCTTTGTATAGCAGCGACCAGATACATGGGACAGATTTTCAAAAGCTGCTACGGTTAGCTGAAAAACTTCCTGAACCATTTAAATGGAAAACTAAATTATGACATGACTTAGAAATTTTATTCACATACATAGAATAAAGATTATTCCCTAATTCCATTTGAAGCCGTTATCATTTGAATGTTGATTCAAGCATCAGGAATACTTCAAACAGTTCTGTGTACCTTCATCTGTTCATCATTATAGGGAGCATCTGGTGCTGTTATTCTTGTAATCTCAGTGATGCAGGATGCAACAGAAACTTTCACTTCCATATTACTATGCCTCAACAGGGAATTAGATTTCAATGCTCTCATTGTGGGTAGAAGTGCATCTTGCATAGACTTGGATGGTGCTTGCTCTACAGTTGCAAGCAATTGCTCAACTTTCTGAAAAAAGAAAAATAAAAAAATTAAGGTTATGGCGTTATGAGAACATCGTGGCAACAAGAATACATGAAAAAGTAATAAACTTTTTACTAGTAGAATTCTCAAAACATTCAGAGCAAGACACATAATAACAATCTTTTTCATCTGTCAAGAACACATGCAGAAAGCAAAATAAACAGATTTTTTACATTTGAACCTTGAAAACAAAAACAAAAAATATATATGTATATAA